CGGGAATGGGACCATTATAGGGATTGGGACCGGGAATGGGACCATTATAGGGTTTGGGAGCGGGAATGGGACCATTATAGCGACTGGGACTGGGACAGGAACGGGGACTGGGGCAGGAACTGAGATAGTGACTAGGAGAGGGACTGGGACTGGAGTGGGGACTGTGTCAGGGACGGAAAGAACAACAGGGGCTGGATTAGGGGCAGGGCCAGGGAGGGGACAGGGAGAAGGACAGGGCCAGGAACTGGAATGGGGCAGGGATGGGGACGGGGATCGAGGCCAGGACAGGAATGAGGACAGGGATGGTGGCTGGGACTGGGGCAGGGACTGGGATTGGACTGAGACGGGGACGGGGGCAGGGACACTGCACAACTGTCACGTCGCACTTGACTCCGTTTCCCCCTAAATCGTCACTACGTGGTTTATTTATAAAACAACCCCCTCTCCACGTGCTGGTGGGGGGGCTGTGGCCTCGTGGGGGTCCCCTGAGTGATGAGGGGGGAGGCGGGTCTGTGTGCTTTTGGTTGGTGTTTGGGGGCTCCATTTCATGCCTGGAGACCCCCACTCAAGAACTCCCCACGTCCCAGGGGGTCCCTTCCCTGGGGTGTGCCATCTCCAAGGGATCCTGTCTCTGAGGGGTCCCCACATCCCAGGGAGTCCCCTCTCAGGGGGTCCCTGTGTCCCAGGGGTCCCCACCCCGGGGGGCCCTGGTGTCGGGGTCCTGTTTGTGCCATGTCAGGTCCCTATGCCACCCAAGGCAGGGGGTCCTTGTCGAGGGGGGCTCAGCCCCCCGAAATGGGTCCATCTTGCAGGTGCCAGTGCCGTGCTGGGGGCTCTGGTGGCAGCGTTGTCCTTGTCCCCTCCTGTCTCCAGGGGGGGCCCAGGGTCTAGAGCACGTTGTGGAAGATCTGCATGGAGCTCATGATGTCCTTGTCCTGGAGGGGAGAGGACAGAGACTCCCGTGTCCCCCTCCTCCCATCCCCCTCCTGCCATCCCACTCCCGTCCCTCCCATCCTGCTTCCCTGTCTCTCCCCTCCTTCCCCCCCCAATCCTGTCCCCTCTCTCCTCTCCCCACCGCCCAACACCCCCCATCCCACACTTCTCCTGTCCCTCCCTCCCATTCCTCTCCCAGCCCCCCTCCTGTTCCCCCCTCCTGCCATTCCCTTCCTGTCTCTCTCCTCCTGTCCCCGCTCCCGGGGTCACCCCCTTGTCCCCATCCCTCCTGCCCCCCCAGCACATCACTCTGGGACAGAACTAGGAGCAGGGGGATGTCTCAGACTCCAAGGCCTGGCAGGATGGAGGAAGAGGAGGGTGGCAGTGCCCCCCAGGCCCCCGGAGTCCCCCCACCTCCTGGCAGGTCTCCAGGAACTCCTCGAAGGTCACCACACCGTCCCCGTTCCTGTCCATCTTCTGCAAGGGAGTGGCCGGGGCTGAGTGGGGGTGGGTGGCCCCGGGAGGTGGCCCCGGGAGGAGGCAGAGGGGACAGTGTCACCTGGAAGAACAGCTCCATGTGCTGGGCCGGGGCGCTGGCCCGCAGGGTGGGCTCCGTGCAGGGCCCCATCATGGCATAGATGGACTTCATGATCTCCAGCATGTCCTGGGGGCACACAGAGCATGGCACATCCCTCTCTGGGTGCCCCCCGCTCCGCCAGCCCCCCTAGTGACCCCCAGTGTTACCTCCTTGGTGACGTAGCCGTCCTTATTCACATCGTAGAGGTCAAACGTCCACTTCAGCTTCTGCTGCTCCGTCCCCCGCAGCAGCACCGAGAGCCCCACGGCGAAATCCTGCCGTGGGTGTGAGCAGGGAGGGACCCCAACCCCCCTCACAGCGCTCAGCCCCCCCTCCTGCTGCCACATCGATCCTGGGGCGCCCAAGGGATTTGTTCCCTATTGATCCCGTTATTTTTAACCATCCCCCCCTTGTGCTGCAGTGCCCCTGGCACCACGAGGGAGAGTTCGGCCACAGCCTGGGAGGAGGAGGAGGATGTGATGAATCACGCCGGGAATTCCCACCTGGAAGCACAGAGCCCCGTTGTGGTCGGCGTCGAAGGCGTCGAACAAGAGGTGGGCGTAGGAACTGGCGTCTGCAGGGCAAGGAGACAGTGACTCCCCCCACTTTGGCAGGGGCTGTTTGTTCGGATGGGCCCCCCCAGGCCCCCCCTGGCAGGTTTGGGGGCCCCCCTGACTCACCGCCCTGGGGGAAGAACCGTGAGTAGATGAGTGTGAAGGTTTCCTCGTCCACGAGGCCGCTGGGACATTCCTGGGAAGGAGGTGGCGCCTGGTGACACTGGAGACCCCCAGGACCCCCGTATGTGGGGTCAGGGGGTGAGGGACCCCCAAGCTCACGTTCTTGAAGCCACGGTAGAGGGACTGAAGCTCCATCTTGGTGAAGTTGGTCCGGGCCAGGAGCTGCTCCAGCCCCTCGGGTTGGTGCCGGATGGTCGGGAGCTCCACGTCGGCATCGCTGTTGTCTGGAGAGACCCCCCCGGACAAAGATCCCCCTTAAAAACAACACCCCCTGCCCTAAAGCCACCCCTATCCCCTTTAAACCACCCCCACCCCCCAAAGCCAACCCTTCCACCCCTTAAAACCACCTCCATTCTCTCTAAAACCAACCCTCCAACCCTTAAAACCACCTCCATCCCCGCTAAAACCAACCCCATCCCCCCTACAGCTACTCCCATGGCCCCAAAACCACCCCAGGGTGCCATGGTGGACCCCAGAATTCCCTTTGGGCCCCTGGAACACCCCAGGTGTCGAATCCCGAGGGGTTTCCCGCATTCTGGAGGCACGGAACATTCCAGAGCCGCCTCTCCCCGGCCAAAGGTAATTAATAAATGATGGTTTATTAATAATTCCAGCCTGGGGAGCCCCCACGGAGCCTCCCGGTGCAGAGGGAGGGGTGGGAATTTTGGGATGGGGTTGGGACCCTGGAAAATCCCCATGGTCCCCCCAGAGGGGTTGAACCTCCCAGTTCCTGCTAAGCCGGGTCTCAGGGGGGCTTGGGGGGCAGAGAGGGAGTGGGAGGGCCTGGTGTTGTGTTTTGAGGGGGTTGGGAGTCAGTGGGGGCCTGGGGATCCCTGTGTCCCATCCCCAGGGGCCTTTGGGGGTCTCTGTGGTGGCAGAGCCTCCCAGCTCGGGGGGGGTTGGGGATTAACAGCAGCTCAGAGCCACCCCCTCCCACCTTGGGGATGTTTGGGGGTCCCTGTTATCTGTTGACAGGGAGTGGGGGCACCTTGGGAGAGGCAGGGGGGCACAGCACTGGCACAGCCCCCCAGGGAAGGTCAGAGCAGGGCTGGGCCAGGACACTGCAAGGGGGGGCTGGAGGGGGGCTGGGGGGACCTGCCCTCTCCACCACCCCCCAAACCCTCAGCCTTCACCCCAAACCCTCATGGGGGGGAACCCCAAACCCGGCTGGTTGGACCTCAGAGGGCCCGACAGGTCACTGACGGGGGGAGGGATGGGAGGGATTAATTAACTCAATAATTAGGGTTCATTAAGGTTATAACTGGGGGGTACCTTCCATGGAGATGGGCTCCAGGATGCCGAACTGCTTGAGGACGGCGATGAAGAGGAGGATGACCACGGCCACGGCGCACAGCTCCATGCTCTGGATGCCCATGGCCCCCGGGGGGGGCTTGGGGGGTCCCCCCAGACCCCGGCAGGGTGTGAGCAGTGGGTGCTGCGGGAGCGCAGGGCGGGTGCTGTGCCCGCCCGTGCCCGCCTGTCCTGCCTCCTCCTCCTCCTCCTCCTCCTCCCTTGGCACTCGCCCACCCCCCCGGCCCCCCCGGCGCTGCTTTCCCACATTTTATTTTTAGCCCTCTCCCTCCCCCTGAAGGATTTGGGGGGGCCCAGGGGCGCTGCCCCCCCCTCCCCGCAGCACCCCGGGCTTGTGGCTGCACAGCCGGGAGGTCAAACCAGCACCGGACTCAAAACTGGGGGGGAAAAAGGTTGTTTTGGCCCCCCCCCGCCCCCGGTGGGATCGATAGGATCGATGGGGATGAGTAAGCAGCGAGGGGGGGGGAAACTGAGGCAGGGGAGGGGGCGGGGGGCTGGCCCTGTGCCCCCAGGTCTGTCCCCACCCCTCCAGGGCTGTCCCTGCCCTGGGGACATGAGCCCTGTCCCTCCAGATCTGCCCCGGGGGTGTCCCTGTGCCCCCAGGGGTGTCACGTTCTGTGGTCCTGGGGAGATTGTCCCTGTCCCCCTGGGGCTGTTCTGTCCCCAGAGCCCTGGGACAATCTGTCCCCATCCCTCAGGGGTTTTCCCTGCTCCTGGGGACATCGGCCCTGTCCCCCCTGAGCTGTCCCTCTGTCCCTGGGGTGTCCCTGTCCCCACATGGCCCTAAGGCTCCAGGAATGTCTCTCTGCAGTGTCTTGGGCTGGTCTTGTCCCCAGAGTTCCAGGGACATTGTCCCTGTCACCTTGAGGGTGTCATCGTGGTTCTGGGGACATTGGCCCTGTCCCCCCAGGGCTGTCCCTGTCCCTATCCCTCGGGGTGTCCTACCCCCACGGCTCCCAGGACATCATTCCCATCCCCGCCCCGCCCCCCCCGTGTCCCTGGCCCTGTTCTCCCCTGGGACTCTCGGCCCCAAGGCCCCGGGACCATCTCTCTGGAGGTGTCATGTCCTCATGGTCCCCAGTTCTTTGTCCCCCTCCTCCAGGGCTATCCCACCCCCGTGGTCCCAAGGACATTGTCCCATCCACCCTGAGATGTCTTCGTCACCTCCAGGGGATCCCTGTCCCCCCTCCCATCCCCCTCGGGAACACTGTCTCTGTCCCCCTGGGGGTTGTCCCTGTACCTCTCCAGGTGCTCCCATTCCCAGCTTCTACCTCAGGGGCACAGTCCCTGTCCCCCCAGGAGTGTCCCCACAACCCCCAGGGTTCCCCTGTACCCCCAGAGTGTCCCTGCCGCCTCGTGGGCTGTCCCTGCCGCCCCCTGGGTGTCCCCATCCCTGACTCCGTCCCTGTCCCCCTCGCGCTGTCCCATCTCCCTCCGCCCTCGGCGACCCCCGGGGGCCGCACTGGGGGCGTGGTTTTGTTTTCTAAGGGGCGTGGCCCAAGAAAGCCGCGTGGCTCCGCCTTGGGGCGTGGTCAAGCTCCGGGGGCGGGCTTCACTCACCGCCCGCCCCCCGATCCCGCGTGACGTCACTTCCGCTTCCGCCCCCGCAGCGGAAGAGCCGGTGCCGCCATGGCCTCAAGGTTACTGCGGGTGAGCGCGGCCCTGCGGCTCTTGCCCGGCGTTTCCGCCCGCGCCGCGCCCGCGCGCCAGCTCGGCGTGCCCGGTGAGTGGGGACCGGGGGGAGGGCGGCGCGGGGGGGGCGCGGGGAGGGGGCGTGCGGGGCCGCAGGGGGGGACCGGGCGCGATGTCCGTGCCTCCCACCCGTGTGACCGCGGTCCACAGGGAGCCTGGCCAGCGATGAAGAACAGGCGACTGGGATGGAGAGGAAGGTCATGGAGGCCCTGAACAAGGGCCTGGTGAGTGCAGGGGCACCCGGGGGGGGCGGGGGGTCTTAGGGAACTCGGGGGGG